AAACAAAGTTAAATAAATGTGACCCAAGAATTAGCTGGAAATCAATATTTCCTTTGAGATTCAATGTAACTTGACCCTCATCCCAGGGCAAAGGAGAGCCCACTGATGCCCCAGACATCTTTGGATCTGCCCCCAAACTAACTCAAACCATGTTTTGGTTAGTGGCTCTATCCTCCTAATTGCCATTTAGGTGGAGCTATTATCAGGAATTCTGGGCTAGAACAAAACTATTTTCTATCTGGCTTTGCACTTCTAAAACCCTTCCCCGTTTACTCTTCAACCCCCAATAACCACCAAGAGATTTGCACTTGGATTCTGATGCTGGGTCTGACCTAGGGTGGGGCTAGTCCTCAGGGTAGAAGTGGGATAACTGGCCTATTGCCTTATTAGAATTCACTGGTCATTGTACAGGAATATTTGTCATACTAATAGCTTTGGTATGTGGGATGATAAGCTCAACTTGTTGCAAAATAAAAATATGTAAAAAGTCCCCAAGAGCTTAAAGCAAATACAATAAATTCCAGTGATGTATGATATCCCTAATTATCTAAGCTAAAAGGCCAGAGAATTAGTAATACGACAGCTCAGATTATAAATCTGTGACTAAAGCAATGTGGTGGGAGGCCGTTTAGAGATGGAAATAGATTGGACAGCATAATGATCTGAGTTAGATGAGATCAAAATGCTGTCTGAGATACTTGATAAAGGAGATGACACAAATAATCCATTTTAAGGTTTTTAAGGGGAGCAATAGATTGGTGAAAATTGTAAGCTTAATGGATTTGGCCAACAAGAGCTAGACTGTGTCTAATTTACTCATAGTCCTCATTTTGGGAACAGTGTCCTGTGTATAGTAGGTGTCTGATATATAATTATTTAATAAATAATGAAGTATTGCATTTATTTTGTGATCAGAGAATGGGAACTCATATGCCATGGAATGCCCAAGGTGAACTCTCATTCTCCAAGGTCTTTGCCTGTCTGGTTTTTCATCATTCAATGTCTTGCCAGAGCTTCTTCAGAGCATAGCCATTGGCTTTCACATGGAAAGGTTCTAATAAGACCTGCCCCAGTGCATAAGCACTTAGTAATTTTCTGCTTGTATGTCATTTACTAATTCCCATTGGCTAAGCAAGTCACATGGCTAAGCCGAGTCTGTGTGGGAGGATCTTAGGCAAGGGTACGGATATTGAAAAGTGGTTCATTGAAGACCACCAATGTAAATCTCCCAAAAAGGCTGGTTTTTCTCTCTAGCCACATGTGGAGCCCTGTTTGTCTATTATTCTACAAGAGCTGAACCCTGGTTCATGTTTTCTTGCTTCCACATACAGAGTCCAGAAGCTACACGGCTTTTGTCTGATTACCATTTTGCATTTTGGTTCTATTCCGGATACATGGAAGTCTTTATGTTCTTTTTAAAATCACAGCTATCACATTTTAATTTTCTTACTTATATCTCTTATTTTTGCATTTAAAGCAGAATGATGAGTGAGGAGTCTCAAAATATTAATTGAAAATGTCATCTTGGCTGGAAGTCTGGCTCAACATCAAGTCCATTTTCCTTAGTAAGATCCTCTACCAGTTTGCTCCATTCTTCACTGGAAATGCCACCCTTCTTCTGTCTGAACTCTTCCCCTACCCTTCCCCTGAATAATTATACAACAGTGTCCACTGGGCAGTCAGTAGCTGTCTCTGTACTATGATCATGTTATTCTTGGAGTGGTCTTGCTCCCAACAGATGCATGCACATCTTTACTTTTACTAGCTAAGTGCAGGCAGTTAGAAATAATCTTTCTCTCTGAACTCCCAGGATTTTTTATATTTCTCTTATGGCACTTATCACTTCCTACCTTTTGTCATAGATATTTATATATGCCTTAACTCTGTCTTGGCTTCTTGGGGGTAAAGCTCATACCAGATTTTTCTTGCCTTGTGCCTTATACATATATAGCAGGCTCTCAATACAACTGTTTCCTTCCCATTTCAACATTATCCAAGGGAGCTAATTTACATATGTATTTACAAAGAGTTGATTTTCAAGGGAAGGTCATTTCCACATTTATTTTACATCTTCTCCATTTATAGGTCATTTTATATTACAATTGCTGCTGAGTCCCTCATATTTTATTAAGTGAAAGTATTTTAGTCTGCTTTTAGTGATTTCGAAGGAAATCCTCTAAAGGCATACCTTGATTCCATACATTCAGGCTGAACACTATACTGTAATTAGAATTATCCCTAGATTTATAGCTTAATCTTGCTGCTACAACTTTCTTTTGACTTTTAGAAAATAGTCTTAAATAAAGATCTTTGCTTAAGGTTTAACTGATTATAAATGAAGTCTTGTACCCATGTGAAATTGTGAACCATGTCAGAGTCATGATTTATTTGCCTTTTAATGCTCAGGATGTAGGTCAGAGATTGGAGCATGATGAATGTTCAGTGTTTTCAGACTTTGTTGGAACAGCCTCAAGTTTTCTCAACCCACTCCCCCAGAGAGACTCAGCAATAGTGTGCCTTTATGAATATCTATTTATAAAGGTCAACCTATTCTATAGTATTTAAAACACAAAGAACTTTTCAAGAAAAGTGAATTCTTTTATACTATTGGTAAAAGGTATATAAAAGCTAGGAAACAAGAAGTTTTTAAAACCTAGGGACCATGTTTAACATTCCTTATATTCTCCACAAAGTCTTTTAGAGTAGACACTGAGTAAATCTCTGATGATAAAGATAGAAAATATTTGTTCTAGTTTGAAAAAAGATCACACTTCTTTTGAAGGCGTATTGGATCAAGATCTTATTTTAGAAAATTCATGGTACAATTTCTAAACTTTATTGTGATCAGAACTATGGCAGTGGCAAACCAGGGGCTCAATAAATGAGGCTTGACCCTCATATATACCTTTCAGCATGTCTGCCCACACTCTTTGCCTTAACCAATTGAAAAAATGAAAAGGAAACAAAAGCAGTGTTGTATACCATCTGGTAGTATTGGCGTTATCTGTAAAGCCAACTGCAAATTATTAAGCTTGAATAATTATCATTGAGTCCTCATCACTTTTATGCTCTGATGCTTCAATAACACAGCCGAGTATCCATTCCTACCTGTGCCTTACTCATTAAGGTTAGCTGATTAATACACTTCAAATCCTACAACCAAAATGCTCTTTGAATTATATCACTGCACTATAACTTTTATAAGGTACACTCTACAAACTATTTTCAATACATTTTATTGGGTATATAATGTGTATCAGGGACTGTGCTGGCACTGGGTAAAGAAATTCATTAATACAACTAAAACTTAATCAACGTCTATTACCAGGAACAAACCCTGCCTCTTCTTACTATCTGGCTGGGAAGGCACACATTTAACAAACAAATGCAATTGTCCGTTTTCAGAAAGAAGTCCATGTGAGATTCCAAGACACAAGTCTTCAAGGATCAGGTTGAGGAGGGAGGAGGGACAGCAGCCAGGCAAACAATTTGAATATCACCTGATAAATGCTATATCAGCAAATGGCCAACGTACTATCAAAATACAAAGGAGGAAGGATTTACTTCTCTCTTAAGGTGTGGGGAGAGCATCAGAAAGGAGTTGAAATCTTCAGGGATGAATAGGTTTTCTACAGGCTTAGAAGTGGTGCTGGTGATGGTGTCACAGAAGGCATTCATTCTTGAAAGCATGCAGGGCAGGGATGGGGCACTTCAAGTACTGACAGTGAAGGGTGGATCAGACCACTCCCACTGATTCATTAGCTTCTTGGCCAAGCACCACTATACCCAGTTGAACCAGTTTGAGCGGGAGTTATTTCAGCTCAGATTTTTTTTCTCCAGAGTGTACGGTTGCAAGATAAAACACAAAATGCTCAGTTTAATTAAAATTTCAGATAAATGACGAACACTTTTTATAAAGTCTCCAATATTTCGGACATGTATTAGAAATATTTATCTGAAACTCAAATTTAAAAAAGTCTGATTTGATTTTTGTTCATTTGCCACATCAGGAAACACTACCAGAATGGTAAGACCCAACACGGTTCCGCTGTGGCACAGATAAACAAAACGCCACCATGACCCCGCCTTTCTGTAGCGAGTCTTTCCAATCAGAAGCCAGAGAGAACAAGCTTCCAGAAAAGAGACGCTGTAACTAGGCAACCAAGGTTCCAACGACCCGACCTTTCTACCCTTTGCAAGATCCAGGTTTAGAATTGTGGTGCATTCTGGGAGTTAGTTTTCTAAGTTGGATTCGCCTTCTAAGGCCACCAGACTACAACTCCCAGCAGCGCTAAAGGGCCGCCCCGAGGCACGCTGGGAATTCTGGCTATATGCCGTACGGAAAGGCCCTGGAGGGCTTCTTGTGTAACAAGACACTAGGGCCGATTTTCAGTTTCCCAACATTAGGAATTTACATAAAAGGTTAAGCCGAATTTTACTCCTTGCTATACAGAGACAACAATTCTGCCGTAACAGCGTGGAGACAAGTGCATGCGCACTGAGGTTATCTTCCACGTTGAGGACTGGAGACTGAGCACCGCTCCTGCACGTGATTCCGGCGCCTCTTCGTCATTGGCTGCATCGGGGGCGCGGTGCTCGGGCGCGGACGCCCAGGATTGGTGTTTGGGAGGCGCGGGGTGGGACTCCAGTTGCTGCCGCGGGAGGTCCGGACCCGGGCGGCCATAGGACTCGCCGGTAAGTGCGCGTCTTACCTCCCTGTGCCGGCACTCTCAGCCGCTTCCGGGTGGGGCTGAACTGCCCCCGCGGGAGTTTGGTTGATCGTGGAGGGGGCGAAGCCAACCCGGCTCGTGGCTCGGAAGTCGGGGTCGAGCGTTTCTGTACTCAAGTAGGGCTGAGGATGCGCTGGGGCAGACTCGGTGGAGCGGGGTCGTCACTTGCCTGGCGCTCCTCCGTGTCCTCTCACTGAATGAAGCCGGGAAAGTACCCAGGGGTTGGGTGGAAACACCGTCCTCTTGACCCCAATACCCCGCTGGATCTCACTAAGGCTCCTCAGGAACCTCTGTTGCTAATGACTGCCCAGGGACTCCTTGGCCAGGGTCGAGAATTTTACGGGTATCTCGCGTTTGCCACTTAAATGACTAGGTGGGGACTTTGTACAAATAGCTCAACTTGTCTGGCTTTTCATTTATAAAGTAAGAGGTGTTCAGTACATTTTATAGCTTCTCTTTAGCTTTAAAGTATAAGATTTTGTTATTGTACCGTTTTTTGAGCTTTTACACCATCAAGATGTTATGTGGAACTTGGAAGTAGGCAGATTCCTCACAGAACATTTCAGGTTAATGAAAAACTGATTTCATTTGGTTCATTACTCACTGTTTTCGTTATCATTAATCTTTTAAAATTAACTAGAACTTGAAATTTGGGTTTAGGTGACAAAACCACAGTTAAAATGTTAATGGATGGAGCCACTTAAAGTACAAACTTGAAGAATCTCAGTATTTGATAATATTGAATCTTAATTAGTAAATTCCAGTCAACAAACATTTATAAAGAGTTATTTCTGAGAATATATTTAAAATATAGATGCATTTGTTGGAGAGAATAGATAAGACTTTACACCTACAATTAATTTGTATTTTCTGAGCTTGAAGGTGAAATTGGAAACTCAAGTGGTTAGGATGGCTTCCCATTGTATAGTTGTGTCTGGAGGCATGGATATCTCATTTGTAAAGCTGAGGAAGAGTTTCAGTAGGTTTCCAATACTCTTTAGCGTTAAAAGTCTAAAAATCTCTAATAGTACTGAGTATTGAGTGGGCATTTTGCACTGATAAGGATCTAGGAAACCCCTGAGATAAACATTTTCTACTTTAGATGTAGAAAATGGCCCCAGATTTAGCCCATCTCTAGTTTAGTTTTTATCTTCAGGCTCCAAACTTAAGGGAGAGACAGACACTCTTGGCAAAAAGGCCTATGTAACCGAAAGAAAAGTTAAGACAATGCAGGGGAGCAGTTTCATTTTCACCATCCTTGAATAAGGAAGGAGGAAATATGAATGTCTGCGGCATGTGCTACTGGTGGTACTTGGAAAAGCTGCTCTCAAAAGACAGCACTAGTTCCAGGTATATTTTAGTGTGAACCCCAAAGGTAATATTAGCAGAACTTTATGAGATTCTTTGCATCAGTGGCTAAGCTCTCGAATGAGGTTGCTACCCTTTATCTGTAAAGAGCCCTAGTATGTAATTATTGGAATGAGCTAGTTTGTTAGAATGGCAAATTATTATACACTACGGTGTGACAAACTTATTTTTTGAAATTATGTGTAGTAGTCTTTTAAAAGTCAACTTAAGATATAAGGACATTGCAGAATGTAATTTTGTTGTATGGCATATAGCAAATGCTAAGCAGGTAAATGTCAAATGAGTAAATTCATGATATGCTTTGTTTTATTTCCAGAGGGGAAGCTAACAAATTTACATTAATGTTAAAACCATATCTATATCTGGATTTGGAATATGGAATGTATTTACTCTGAGCTGAGATCCTCTTTTTCTCTCTTTTTCAGGTACTACATGACATATCTTAACTGGATTGCTCTAAAGGACTAATGCCTAAACCATCTCAACATGGCTTATCAAGGAGGAGGTGGGCACGACCATGGTCCATCACCTGCGCTCTACCCTGTTAGCCCTGAAAGTCTTTTCACATGTAGAACTCATAACATATGCATGGTATCGGACTTTTTCTACCCGAATATGGGAGGTGTGGAAAGCCACATTTACCAGCTCTCTCAGTGCCTGATTGAAAGAGGACACAAGGTCATAATTGTCACCCATGCTTACGGAAATCGAAAAGGCATCCGTTACCTCACTAAAGGCCTCAAAGTCTATTACTTGCCTCTGAAAGTTATGTACAACCAATCTACAGCTACAACCCTCTTTCACAGTCTGCCATTGCTCAGGTACATATTTGTTCGGGAGAGAGTCACGATAATCCACTCACATAGTTCCTTTTCTGCCATGGCCCATGACGCCCTCTTCCACGCCAAGACAATGGGGCTCCGTACAGTCTTCACGGATCATTCCCTTTTTGGATTTGCTGATGTCAGCTCGGTGCTTACAAACAAGCTTCTAACTGTATCTCTTTGTGACACAAACCACATAATTTGTGTCTCTTATACTAGTAAGGAAAACACTGTGCTAAGAGCAGCACTGAATCCTGAAATAGTGTCCGTCATTCCTAATGCGGTAGATCCTACTGACTTCACTCCAGACCCATTTAGAAGGCATGGTAGTATGACTATTGTTATTGTCAGCAGACTTGTTTACAGAAAAGGTAATGAAACGATAGCTACAATTACACTACACAGACTTTTTTTTTTTTTTTCTTGGTAGAAAGCTGTTGAATACTTGTTTATAATGATTGTTTGGTTTTTTAATTCTGTTTTATGGTTTTATGACTACTTCTGCATTAAATATAGCAAAGAAAGGTCGACTATTGTTTTACCTTCAAAAAGGAATTTTTGGAACAGTAGTGAATACTGCCTCCCTCCAACCTTTGATGTTTTAATAGTTACTTAAAAATAAAACCAACCTGATGGTGTTTAATAGGTCAGGTCTTTTTTTAAAAGTTAAAACAGCCCTGCATATGCGATAATTCTTACTGGTACAGGGCTGAGCCCACTACCAATTTCTAATTGCAAAAGTAATGTCTTTTCTTTGCAGATATTTAGAAAACAAAGAAAAACACAAAGGTGGAAACTAAAATCAACTCTTCCTAAGGTCTCCTGTGCCCTTCACCTCCAGCCCAGCCACCATTATCTTATGTATAGATTCAGAAGATTATTTAAAATATTGTTAGATTGAACTTTAAAGGCAGTTTGAATCAGGAATTATCCTTGTCCGTTTTGGGTAACTATGGAGATTGAAAGTCCTTTTGTATGTTCCATTGTGTTAGACTCTTCTTCGAGGCACAAGAACATTTTTTTATTGTAGGGGAAAAACCCTTTATTTTTAGAATAATGTTATAGATAACTGACAATAGTAACCAGTTCCATTTCTTACAAGGTACTTGTCAGGATTAAATGACATACTGTATTTAAAGTATATTGCCTGACATAGTAAGCACTCAGTAAATGTTAGTTATTATCAGCAATTATGGTTATTCTATATGTGTTGTTTTTTTAATTGAAGAATGGGTTTTTAACCTTTGTATTAGAAGGGAGAAAGGGAGGGGAAAGAAAGGAAAGAAATAAAATGAAAGAATTGTAGGAGGCTAAATGTTAGAAGTCATTAAGCCACCTTCTGGTTTATTTAGAAATCCAATAGATTTGGTAATAGACTTACACAAAGATCGTTAAGATTTTAATGAGAAGCCTTCATAATTCAGGTAAACTGCATGTGAATTTATGTTTGCTAATGCAATAATTTTGAAAATACTAGCAGAGTTTATTTAAATCCTGTTTTGACTTATTTAATAAAAATGACCTGTATATATCTCCCACCATCTTTATTATAATTGATCTGCCTATATTTGGGGAGATTGACAGTGCAATTCGTGTGTGTGTGTGTGTGTGTGTGTGTGTATTAATAAACTACCTGGGTTGTTTTGCATTTTCCTTTGTGTACAATTTGTAATTGTTAATGAGTTAACTTCTCAAATAGTGTCAACATTGCTATCACTTTGGGTAGCCACTATCAGACTAGTAGGGCGCAATTTATTTTATTGCTTCACATTACCTAAAGTTGTATTTACATGTTATAAGAAAAGTATTTCATTAGACAAAAAGGAACAAAGATGTATACTTCTATTCTCTGGAATGTAATGGTCTGGCTGATGGGTCCTGCCACCTTCACTTACTTTCCTTTGGGGAAGTGGGCTATAGTGGGCTTGAATGGACTGTTTTAAATTTTGCTAATGCCATAGGTTTTACTGCAGAATCCTCTGTATAATTTACATTCTGCACAAAGTGGAGACAGAAGTTATACTTGGTTGCTTAGCCCTTTCCTGCAGCAGGAAGTGGAATCATAGATAGTAGAATGAAATAGCTGAAAGAGACCTTGGACTGCAGGTACATAGGTTTCTTAATATTCTGTGTCAGGAAACTTTCCCATCATGAAAGAGCTTGCTCATTAAAAGGCTGGGATAAGATCTAGATCTCTAGTCAGCTGTCCTGCTCTGTAGAAAACTTTAACTCAGTTGTTAGCTACCTCAGATACCCTTTCTAGAAGTGGATGATGCTTAAACACACGTGAATAACTTAACATTGTGCTGAAATGAAACAGGATAGTACACTATTGGGTGTATGGAAGGTAACAATGAAGGTCAGTGTGTATATCTTCAAGAACTGCAACTCTTGGGGAACCTCTGGCAGTTTGTGAACAATTCTACCCACCCTGGGAAGGTTTAAGAGAATTCACTTCTCTCCTTAAGGAGGGCATACTAATACTTTTCCAAGTGAGTGAATTCTCAGTAGTTCTGATGATTTTTTAAAAGTATAAATATTAATATCTCCAACATTTAAATTTATTTTCTATTTCCAGGGACTGATTTGCTTAGTGGTATAATACCCAAACTCTGTCGGAAATATCAAGATTTAAATTTCATAATTGGAGGAGAGGGACCAAAGAGAATAATTTTGGAAGAAGTACGGGAAAGATACCAGCTACATGACAGGTATTGATGGATTCCATATTGTCTTGGGTGAGAGAATATCAATTGCCTAAGTTCAGTTTGGGCTACATGTCTGCATTAAGTGGATTGCGTCTCCTACATGTATTTGATGTAAAAATGTAATGCAAGACCTGTTTTTTAAAAATGTATATAAAATGGGAAACCCTAGTTAAACAATTTACAATTTCCTTTATTTTTAATTAGTCCAATATTACTTGACAGGGCACCGGTTGGAGGCACTATGGAAGGCACAAAAAACCAACTGCTTTGATTGGAAATGTTTGCAGATTTTTAAGCCATACTGAGTTGTGATTGATCGATTGATTGATTTTTCTCACCCAAGGATATTTTTACATTTATCTTCAGATAGAGCAGGAGGGAGAGAGGGAGGGAGAGAGAAGCATTGATGTGAGAGAGACACATTGATTGGCTGCCACCCACACGACCCCAACCAGGGCCAGGGACAAACCGAAACCAAGGTATGTGCCCTGGGCCGGAATTGAACCTTGGACTCTGTGGCCCACAGGCCGACGCTCTAACCATTGGGCAAAACCAACCAGGGCTACTAAGTTGTGATTTTATTAAAGAGCATGGCCCAAATCATGTCAGTCCCTCTGCACATACAGATTTGAACATTTCTCTTCCCCGGTAGCTTAGATAACATGCGAGGGCCGTGCCTGTGAAACATCAGTTTAAAGGGGGCATTCTCCTGTTTAGAAATGATACTTTGACACTTACTCATCAAAGTGCATTAATATTTTCGTTAAGTGCAAACTCATTTTGGAAACGATGAAATTTGATATGTGCGGTGCAAGTGAGAACTATGTTAGCTGTATGCATTTTAACCAAACAGCTTAATAAGACTTTTGGATTGGAGTTTAGCAATATTAATTTTTTGAGGTGGAAAGCATTAGACCCAGTAAGAATTTAAGTATAATATGAATAACACACTTGGCTTACAAATTATATTTCTTTTGTCTGTAGTGTGATTTTCACTGTCCTCTTTCTTCTCTCATTTCAAAAATCAGAGTGCGTCTCTTGGGAGCCTTAGAACACAAGGATGTTAGAAATGTCTTAGTTCAAGGACATATTTTTCTTAATACTTCCCTTACTGAAGCATTCTGCATGGCCATTGTGGAAGCAGCCAGTTGTGGTTTACAGGTAAAAAGATTTGAGGGCTTACATTGTCGGGGTTTCCGTGCATGTCTTTTGAAAACTAATCAGACACATTCTGTAGTCATTTTTTAAGTTGGTTTTGCTTATTTTCCTGAGATATGAATTATGTTGGATCATATGTTCTTTTTTTTTTTCTTTTTCTTTTTAAGGTTGTAAGTACCAGGGTTGGTGGAATTCCTGAAGTACTTCCAGAAAATCTTATTATTTTATGTGAGCCTTCTGTAAAATCTTTGTGTGAGGGATTGGAAAAAGCTATTTCCCAACTGAAGTCCGGAACACTGCCGGCTCCAGAAAAAATCCATAACATAGTCAAGACTTTCTACACCTGGAGGAATGTTGCGGAGAGAACTGAAAAAGTATGTCACCTGCCAAGAAAAGAGTATTTGAAGATTGGGTTTGAATTCCTGATGTTTCATGTACACGTTGACTTTTTCTTACGCAGGTTTACCATTTCTGTTCTATTATGTAAGTTTATGAAGTCTCTCCCAAATGAAAAGAAGCGAACTGTGTACTTTCGATATGTTAGACTTTACGTTTCTTGTCAGATCATTGCATTTGACATCAGAAAGTAGCAGAAATGCCATCTACATTTTCATTAAACTGGGCATAAAGCAGTTACAGAATTTTCTGGAAATCACAGCCATTAGAGGCAGAAGTAATAAAATCTATTGTGAGACATTTTCTTGAGGCTGTTTAGAATTCTAACATGTATAGATAGATCTATTAGAAAATATATGGTTTTACTTAGTCTGGTTGCAGCCATGCTATAACTGGCAAATATTTAATTCAGGCTATTTCCTAAACTTCTTGTGTCACTTTTGCTAACTGCAGTGGTTTTTTGCATCTTTGGGCTGATTGAGAACATAAGTTAAAATTCAAAATGCACATGGCAAATGTTGGAAGTAAGATCACAGATAAAAAGCAGCAGTATAGAACGTAGATTAATACCCTTTGGTGGGAGAGTATGATTGTGGGAAATACTTCCTGGTTTCAAGTTAGGGACTTCATTTATTCCTGTTGGTTTGTCCTTTGTTTAATCTCATTACTTCATCTGCTTCATACCTCTTATTACCGTGTAACACACTGGCTGGAAACACTCTGCTTCTTAGTATATAGAAAAATTTGAACCAGAAGCACAATCATTTGGGAGCATGGAGAAGAGAGTAGTTTAGACGAGTGCTTTATGTTCTCACTGTAGTCAGAGGAGCAGCTAGTTTCTAGCCAGAAATAGAGCAAGACAGAGCAGCCGAGTGAGCAGAATAGCTCGTTACTGTAAGGCTCTCTTACTTGGTTGAAATGATAAATTCCCATACATAAGATGAACTCTTATTTGAATATGAATGCAGAAAAACTGTTTTATCTCTACAAATTGTCATATACATTTTCCATTGAAACGTGAGATATTTGAGTTCGCAGTTTTGACTGAAATGTCTGAGACACTCTCACATTCTAGGAGTTTTGCAATGTCTCCACCCACATAAAATAACTACCTTTTTCCTTTGGAAGTTGGAGGGTGGCACTAATTACCTGTGGGAAATACATATCAGAATCTTCTAGGAAGCCTTTTCAGGAGCTATTCATTCCATCTTCCTGTCCCCCTCCCCCACCTTCCCCCACCTTTCCTTCCCCCACCCCAACCACTCCCTTGATTCTAATATGACGCTTTAGGAGCAGAGGTGGAATTTGGGAATGGTTGGCAGGGATATTTGGTTAGACAGGTTTTTTTTTTTTCAGTGAAACTTGACTCTGCTTGATAACCATAGCTCTGTAAGTTATGACTTCACTTTGTTGATTGCATCATGTAAACCTCAGAAGTCTGAGCTACTGTAGATACTAAGTTCAGGGAAAAGAACTCTAGTGAAGAATGTCACCATATGTTAAAGGAGCCAATTAGGATTTTTTAACCGCAAATTTTCTTGTAGTTTTGCTTAAGGTAATAGTAAAAATAGCTGTGTTTTTTTCTGTTTTATACTCTATGGTGATTTATAGTATATATTCAGAAACAAAAATCTTTGACTGTAATGGATTAACCTATTCTCTTCATAGTAGTAAATTACTTTGTCACTTAAGATCGTAAATTAATTGATCTAGAAATAAGGGTGGACACATAGGTTGGTTTGTAGTTGCTCTTTTAGTTCTGCCTGAAATTAAGAGGCGGGAGTTGAAAGGGATCCTATGTGGGACATTATGATCCTTTTCAACTCCCTCCTCTTAATTTAACTGTGCTTTTTAGAAAATTGAACAATTGTGATTCACCGGTCTCAGCATAATTCTCAACATAATTCTGATTCAAAGGTATTCCAAATATCCTTGGGGTAGGAGAGCTAGATGAAAACATCCCATATCTTTCAAAGGCCACTGGCCTGCAGAATTTGTACTGTACATCATAACTTTCTTGAGTTCAAAAGGAGATTCTTTACAGATCACCTGCATGAGAATGAGCACAAGTAATGCACAAATGCAATTAAAAAACAATAATACTGGCCCATTTGAGGTATTCAAGATAAGTATGCTTAAAGATCATTGTTTTACTATTTCTGAGTTTAGTGCTTAGTGATTTAAAAAGCAAGCCACCTGCTACCAATTCTCAACAATAAACTTTTTTTCTTTGCCAGTATTTGACTTATATTATCTACTAAGATTTTCCCCCATCTCTTTCCCCCTTCTTTTATTTGGAATCCATGAAATGTTTCTATATATTCTCACCATTTGTGTTCAGCAGCGTGGCCTCATGTGGTTGTGGAGAGAAGAGTTGCTCTGTATCTAGAAAAAAGCACACTAGATTGTCACTCTCTGATTGTGGCTGATGTCTACCAGATAGTGATGTGATCGCAGCTGAGCCAAATGAATCTTAGAAGGCCAGCCCTGCTTCAGGCAGTCACTGCTGAATTAAATATGGCCTCCACAGAGGTGACCTGAAGAGTGGTTCCAACCTCTCGGGACTTTAGAAATCTCATAGTTGGGTTAAAATGGATGGTGATCCCGTAGGAGACAGGAGCTGGGGCCATATGTGTCTTGGTATCACATGGCGTCTAGCCCAGTGTCCTGTCCAGAATAAGCATTCCATAAGTGTTGAATCAAAAGGCAATGAATTACTGTAGTAAATTTCATTAACCACATTATCCCTATAACAAAAACAATGAAATGTAACCTACTTCTGTTTATAAAACATTCGTGGTCATTGTTTACTGTAGATCAGGGTGCTCATTCTTGGCCTCTCTCCCACCAGGTGTACAACCGCGTGGCAGGAGAAACTGTGTTACCAATGGACAAACGACTGGAAAGACTCATGTCTCACTGTGGCCCAGTAACAGGCTGCATTTTTGCTTTGTTGGCCGTATTCAACTTTCTGTTTCTCACTTTCCTGAGATGGATGATTCCAGATTCTATCATTGATGTTGCAGTAGATGCCACAGGGCCAAAGGGTGCCTGGACTAATCAGTATCCTTATGGTAGAAAACGGGGCGGGGATAATGAGACATCCAAAACCAGGTAGAAGAAAGCCTGGATCAGATTTTAAATATTTGTACTAGTTCTATTAAGACTATTGAAAAGAACCTTGCTTCCCCCCCCCCCTTTTTTTACAGTTAATTTAGTAAGTTGTGCTACCTCTATATTATTCAATGTTTTATTTTGAGGAAAGATAACTTATGCAATTCCTGAGTGTAGAAACTCCTTGCACTTATTTAAAATTTAGGAGAAAACCTATTTAAGCCACTCAGGTATGATATTTTTCAGACTACTGAAGTCCCTCTAGCAGAGATGTTTTCACATATTTTGGGAGCTTTGGGTGCTGAAGGGCCAAATGTTTTCTGGGCATTTTTTTTGGCCAATTTAAATGTTCTACCATTAATTAGATATTCACCAGATGTTTACAAGTTTTCTTTAGGGAAGTACAACAACTCTCTGAACTGTTGTAAGTCATGTCCATTCACCTTTTTTAGATACTGAAGTCATGTTCTTAACCTCTTTTTGAGTACCCTTCAGTAAGTGTTACATATAATCAGCAGGTTTCTTGAGTAAAAAGGTCTGTCAATTACCAGCATGCTTTAAGCGCCTACTCTGTATAGAACATTGAACTAGATACTTCCTGCCCTGAACGACCAGGGTGCTTTCGCTATTTATCACTCAAATGGCTCACTTTGTTGTAGTCACAGGTGACGTGAAACGGTAAAACATCCAACATGCCAAAAATGCTCATGCTTTTAATGCCAGGAAACAGTTGCCGGCACGCTCCGAGCACTTTGATCCTGTTGTGTGCATTCTAGGTAGAGCCTTCACTTTCAGTTGTGTTTATGAAAAGGCTTTTTGCTTTTCAATTACTAGGGACCGATATCACTGTTGATGAGAGTGCAGAGAGAAACCCTCCACATCCTTCAGTGCATAATTTCGTTCTCTATAAATGCCTTCGTGTTTTCCGAGCAGAATGTATGAGGTGTGCCATCTCAAACTCAGCTGCTACCCTGAACCTTTGAGAGAAGTCACTTCCCTTCACTTGTGGCCTAGCTGATGTCTGATAAGTATTGTCAGTGTGCAAAAAAGTCTTTACCCCAGAATGTTTTTTCATAGTGAACTGAGTCTGAAAATTTTAGGAATACAACTCTCTGTGGATGGATGTGTTGTTAACTGTAATTGTTGTTGCCCAGAGCCATGGGTTTTTGAACCCCAAATTATCCACATGCTGTGTCTTACTGAACTCCTTTGAATAAGTTTTTGTTCTAAAGGACTGAAATCGAAAGAGGCACATGTGGGAGCACTACATAGATTCTGGCAGTATTGTGATTGTGTACAGGATTTTTTTAAATGACAATATTTACACAACTTTTTTTAAAGTATCTTAACATGCCTATTAACCAGTTGCCACTGATATAAAGAAATATATTTGTGTTTCATACTAAAAAGCAAATGCAAGAGTGCAGTTTTTAAAATCTAGAAGTTTGGAGTTCTTTAGTTAAAGAAAAGTAGACTGATCCAAACCATTAAATCTTATTGGGATTTTTATGCACAGAAACTGACTTATATAAATATGGACTAAACAGTGCCAATATTCATGATAAAGTGAGAAACTATAACATTTGGTTTTATTCAGCAATTTTCAAAGGCATATTATTTTTTCTTACATTTTTGTCTCTTGGCATTTTTTTCAAAAGCATCATTGTCATTTATTTCAGATGGATATAGGCATTAGAGTTCGTGCATGTAAAATATGTAATTTGCAAATTAAAATTCTTTGTTTCTGAACAAATGGAAGTAAATTTGCTTGTTCCAGTAAATCTTTGTTTTCAGGCTTCCCGGATACTTAAATTGTAACTGTCAGTGTTGCACTGGTCAGTATGTGGGAACACACTGTTCTGCCTTCTACTTACAGTTATTTGAAAGTAAACTTGCATTGATGAGGATTTTATAAAAAAAATGTATTTCTTCTGATGTTACAAAAAGTAGCACATGTAAAACTGATTTATGAAAACATGCTACATGTCCTATACAAATAAAGACCCAAATGACATTTTGACAATTTCCCGAGTTTGTCCTTTTTATGACCAGAATTTTATTAATTAGTTGAACAGCACTCCCCTTCCCCCTCCCTCCTATGCTTTCTTTAAAAAAAAATTACTGAATTTATTGGGGTGACATTGGTTAAACTTATGTAGGTTTCAGGTGTGCAGTTCTATAATACATCATCTTTTCAGTGCAATTTGATGTGTTGCTAGATCTCTTAGTAAAAAATATCCTTCCAAAGAGGAATTATTTTGTCTTTTTTTTTTCTAGAATACATTCTCTCTTTTACTCATGGGATAGCGAGTTCAGCTGTGCCTTTGTTTCCTGATCCAAACAAATCCTTGTTTTGCGCTGTGCTAGAGTTATCACATGAGAAAAGGAAAACATCTATTAGCTGTTGTGTGAACTACGTAATTATACTTTGTCTTGCAAGCTATTTTAAGAGAAATTTGAATATTGATTTTATTTACAGAAATGCAGCTTCTCCCATTCCCTTTTGTTGGAAGCAGTGGAAAGCAGTCACCTACATTGGTACGTTCTGATTTATCTTATACTGAAACTTATTTTTGGCAAAGTCAGGGTATCACGGGTCTGTTTACTTTTGTGAAATATTTTTAAAGGCCTCTTTTTTTTTATCCTCACCCGAGGACATTTTTCCATTTTTTGTTCAGACAGAGTGGGAGGGAGAGAGAGGAAGAGAGAGAGAGAGAAACATCGACATGAAAGGGACACATTGAGTGGCCGCCTCCCGCACAACCCAACCAGGGCCAGGGACAGACTGCAGCCAAGGTACGTGCCCTTAGTGGGAACCGAACCCAGGCCTCTCTGGACTGCAGGCTGATGCTGTAACCGCTGAGCCAAACCGGCCAGGGCTAAAGCCCTCTTTATCAGCTGTAGTCCCCAAAGAATTGACTAGATTTGGTTATATTATATCATCCTGTGACTGGATTTTTAAAATATGATATTCTAAAAATAAAAATTCTGTACAGAATTTGATTTGTAGTCATTAGTACTTTGGGGAGTTCATTTCTCTTGATCATTTATGTTTGGCTATGGCTCAGTGGTACTCAACTGGGTGTAGGGGGTGAAATAGGGTGGCGATTTTGTCAACTAATTAAGTGAGTATGTGGAGACATTTCTGGTTGTTACAACTGAGTGGGAGTGGGGCATTGGCATCCGGTTCACAGAGGTCAGGGATGCTGCTAGATATGCTCCAGTGCTTTCAGATGGCCCCCAACGACAAAGAATTATCTGGCCCCAAATGCCAATAATGCTGAGGCTGAGAGACTGGTGCTATAGATGGTTTCATCTCCTGTGAAAGATACTATGAATTGACTCTACTTCAGTAGCCTTTTATGCCCATCTCAAATGTAAAGATGGTCTCTCAGAAAGAGTATAGACATCAATTTGAAGCTTAAAAAGTTGAGCTTCTCATGGCCAACTTTTCTGGTGTGTAAAACAGATAGTACAGTCATGTTTAAATAAAAATCAAGGCCAAAACAAGATTGAATGATGTTATATAATACAATATACATCACCGGGCTACCATGAGTAAATAATCACCTTCATGGCATACAGTTGAGGAAAGAGACATGAAAAGAGGTAAAATACTTGTGTTCATCGTATATTTTTGTACAGTGGCACTCTACTAGGTAATTAATGTAAGTTTGTAATGTAAAGTCAACCCTGTATGTTAATATCTGTTCTTGAACATGGAAACAACACAAGATCTTCATGGTTCTTTGACACTGAAATGATGTGGTGTATGACTCAAGACTTCTCGTGCACTAGCCTTTTAACAAAGTGTAGGGAAATAGTTCTTATATACGTAGCCATTCTAATTTGAGTGTTAGGAGAAACTCCCATATTTTTTCATAAAACATTATATAAGATTTATTCCATCTGCTCTTATAATTTTATTTTGGCTTGTCTTTTCTAATTGGTTATAGAAATTTAGAAAATCTATCATAGCCAAGAATGAAAGAGACCACCTAGATTTTTCTGACCTAATTTTCCTAGGTGTGGAAAATTAAAAATAAATCATTTTCGCTTGTATTAGCCAGCTGATGCATGTTGAACAGTTAGGCTTACAACTAACCAACTAGGAAAGGTAATGATTAATAGAATCTTTGGGTAATTCACCTAGAACTTGGGACACCTTCATCATCCATTTCATTATGATTCTTCCATGATCAAGGATAGCTCACATTTTCCAAAAAGAGGCACCACTTTTCCTGACACTTGAAACGGGAAGTGAATGATCAGGAACTTTACTGGGGGACCTTATCACAGATGAAATGATTACAGTAAGTGGTCTAATGCTTCCAGTATGACTTTGTACTTGGAGAGGCATCCAAGATGGGCCTGTTACAAATACTGCTTTAGAGTAAATGGTCTTTTTTAACCAGTCATAGTTTAGATTTGGTCTTTCTCCCACGAACCTCAGAATGAAGGGGAAAAATTAAGTGTTCCAAGGGCTAATACTTCCCACCTATAACATAAGATGTATTTGTACTTCCTTGTATGAACTTCAAATAATTTACCTTGTCTCCCATGGGATCTGAGAAGTTTATCTTTCCAGTCCTGCCTTCCAACATAATGTAGCAAAAATTGGCATTTAGGAATAAAAAAAGGTTTGGATATGAATCCTGTTTGTGAGGTAGTGCTGAGGAATGCAGGTGTAGAATTATCGGCTGTTTGTGGTTGGAAGGAAGTTTCTTTAGTTCATTTAACCTTGCTGTGAATGTGAGCACATGCGGTCGCCAAATTATAGTTAGCTTAGAACCTACACACTCAGTTCTCTGTGACAGGACACTGAGGGCTAGAAGGTTTAAAATAGATGTCATATGATACCACTTACAACCCAGTGAAATTTTGCAGTCCCCGGAACCTGTACAGAGTGTAAGCCAAAATGGAAGATGGTCCTGTTTTCTATGGCTTTAAAAACATTTTTATTACCATGTTTGCAACTTTTCTTTTCTTCAAGCTTTTGATTAAAGTTTGTTTGGCTCTCCTAACCCATTTCTATATCGTCAAAGGAAATAGAAAAGAAGCGGCTAGGATAGCTGAAGAGATCTATGGTGGAGTATCAGGTAAAAAGACAGCCTTTGTTAAAAGGCTGATGCATGAGAAACAATACACATTTTTATTTCTGGAAGACAGATATTATTTATACTTTGGCTTTGAGTGGGTCATTTAAAAAATATGACTTAAAGTAGCAAATGGTGTTGACTACATCATTTGTGAAGGATTTTCAGCTTTTTGCAAGTTCTTCAATTAAGAGTTATTAAGTAATTAAAGTAGTGGCTTTCTAAAAGTATTTTGAGAAACTTTATTTCTACTAACCTAAAGAATTACTTATCTGGAATTATTGTCTTTAGTATTTGTAATCAAATTTTAACTATGCATTCTAACAAGACTGAGTTTCCTCACGAAATAGAGTGATGAAGAGATTTGATTTAAAGCAGCAAGTGTGGCAAGCTGTATTTATTTTGGTGCTGTCATTTGCAATTCGAATCGGTGAGCCAATTGTCACTGTCAGGAAAAACTTTTTACTAAACTTAATTTATAACTGATACCATGCAAAGCACTGCAAACAAAGGCCATAATAATGCGAAGTGCCAACCTTAAAACATTTTGAAGTCTCCTGCTTTGTAGAACTTAGTCTTGATTGTAATGAGATGCTTCAAAAGCAAATGAATCAGATATCCTTGTCACTGCCAGGATCCTCACTTAATAGAGGAGTCTTTATTCATAAACAGTTCAGAATTTCCCTCTGTGTTTTTAGTGTTCATAGGGGTTCCAGGATTACATCAGTCTTTATCTAGTATCCATTTCTATTTGCATCTAGGATTCTCTTTCAAAATAGACTGGCGCTTTGTGATTCAAATACACTAGATGACTTTGAAGACATTAGATTACAGCAGTCTTTCCCAAGGAAATAAGACCTCCAAAGAAGAAGCATCAGAATGCTTCAGTTAACTGGGGAAGGTGAGAAGAATCCTGAAGTTTCAGGAAGTGTCAGAAGGCCCGGAGTGTGGAAAGAGGTTTCTTTTGGGGATTACATTTGTCACACATTTCAGGGAGGTATGTTGTTTAAACTCCCTTTAGTTTCAAGCTTAGCATGAATCTGAAAAGGCTATTTTCTTATTTAATTTGTAAATCTGGTCAGGGGCTTTTTAAATGTTTCCGTAACACAGTTTTGATGTTCTCCTAGATATATCATCCTCATGGTCTAAATTAGATAAAGCCCAAGAAAGTCCTTGTTGGCAAGAGTGTTAAAAATGTTTTCTGTTGCTCCTGTGCATTATTTTTGTCTTTGTGGCCCTTAATTAAGTACACTTTTTTAAAAGGTTTTATAATAGTAAGAACCTATGTAAGCATGATTTAAATCTGGGACCATAATACAAATCTTTTAAATTGAGCTCAGTTGTTCTTTAGCTCAAATATATTTGTCCAAGGCCCTAGGATAATATTCATTTAATTTGTAATTAGCATGGTGTTATAAAGTCAAAACTGTATTTTTCGATTATCATTAACAAAGGGCATCAGGGAGGAGAGTGGCGAGTGCATGTTCATTTCTCAGTTTAATTTCCTTCCTATATATATGTATATGTGTGTGGATGGGTCTGTCCAGATTTGTTAAATAAGGCTTTCTATAATAATATAGTCAGTAACATGCCAGAAACTGGTTTTTACAAGATTCTAACAGCATGTTATCTTTTGACATCGTTAGCAGTCAGGTACTAGATACTTAAAGCTAAGTGTATTGAAAATCAAGAACAACATTTTGTGTAAGTGTACATCTCAGACCCGAAATTGCCTTTGCTGGTCATTGGTCAGACAAATGTTTGTTGGGAAAATATGTGACATTTAATTAGGAAGTTAGCTAATTAACTTAGCAAAGTCTCAGGAAGGTTACATTTCTTGACTTCCAATAGCATATTATGTTCCCATAAACTGTGGTCATTGGTAGTAAAAAACAGCCAGGACAGAGTTTAGCCTGTCCTGGCACTCTTTCTTTTGGGAACAGCACCTAATATCATATCCTTCATTAAGAATTTTTTTTTTTTTTTTTTGGCTGTAAAATCTTTTGGGGAAAATTTTGTTTTCTGGAATTTTATATTCTGGAATACATCGTTCAATATGCCTTTGCGGTTTAAGCTGTCTCATTTGTAGGTAACTCATCAGGATTGAGTTAAGCTACGGTCGGCTTATTTTTATTTTGCTTTTTTCAGGCTTCATTGTGTAGTATATCAACTAAATAAATACATACATTTGTAAGTTTGAAACGTTGTCATTGGCCCTTAACATTACATCTGTAGTACCAGGCGGGTCGCTGGATCTCACCTTCAGATTTTCCTCAGGGACTATCTTTCTTCCAAGAGATGTAGTGTATGATTTTTCAACCTTTGTTAATTTGGCTAGAATTGAAGCTATATTTAGTCCAGTAATCTGGTCATCAAACTTGATAAAAATAAAGTGTAGATACAGGTTGATAATGTGTTCTCACAATCCTTGGACCAGGTAGGATTCGGGAGTTTAGGGGGATACTAGAAAGATTACACAGAGTGTGTAGTGTATATTGTATAGCACTCCCAGCAGGGCCTAAAACTGTCTCCCACAATCAAACCTTTTAATATTTCTATAGTGAACATATAAATATTCACACCAAGTGAAAATACAAATTAAAAATAATCAGTTGCTTAACCTGCGTGTTGGCCGTGCTTTGCTGCCAAAGGAGTTTGGATCAACCTTGGGGAAAACTTGGTTTTCAGAATTTGGGAGATTGTACAACTGTTGTACTCCACCCCCCTTTTTTAAAGGGCTGTTTTGAGCTAAAAGATTGATTCTATTCTAAGTGTTACACTTAAAATTAGTTGTCCTTGTTCTATATTCAAACAATTGACCTTGATTTGATAGCGACGCCTCTCTGCCTGACTCATCAATCTGACTCCTTTTTCCTACTTTTCCCATTTGGACTGGATTTTCCTGCCTTTGGTGTATTCTTGCCCAATCCTCTACCTAGCCGCCTACTCTCGTTCAGTTCTGCTGGTTGTTTCCCCAGCCTTGGCCCAACCAAGGCTGAGTGGTTACATATCACAGGTGCCTGCTGGCTTTCCCACGTTGGGGCAACCAGTCCTCAGGGACTCGGCTGCCCTACCTGTCACCTAGCTCAGCTCTCCTGTTCCTAATAGGTTCAAAGGAACCTTCTTTATAACACACTACAAAAAGATGTTCATTGACTGTGGTTCATCTACTGACCCCAAATGTTCTAGAGAGGGTGAATTTTGACTCAATTTTATTATAATATTTTCACTATCTCAGAAAATTTATTATAATATATTTTTTTTACAATTACCTTTATGTTTCTTAAAATATTAATTCTGCTAGGTTCTTGCCTGTATTTTGGTTCAAAATTGAAATTCCTTTTGAATTTTCTTTCCTTTGATAAATGCTGCAGAAGATATTGCTTCATATGATTTTGGAACTTGAGTAAAGAAAGTAGATTGTTTCATGTGCACTAGAGATTATAACCGGTTAGCTGGTATTTAAAAAAAATAACAGATCTCAAATGCTTGTTGGAATTAGGAAGGGTAAAAATTGCAAAGGCTTTAAAAAATAATAATTGATTTTTATCTTGAACACTTGAAACTCAGGCAACTGTATTCCATCTGAACCAATTTTGTTGTTGAAATCTACGGTTTGCAAAGTTGTCATGAAATGGTTATTCAGAGTCTGAGAAGTAGAGATATAAATCGTATTCTGAGAAAAAGTCATGGGGGGGGGGATGAAAAAGTACTTGAACATTTTCCGAACACCTCGTCAGGAACAAGTAAACATTTGTAGAGTAAACTATCCTCATAACGTGCTTGCAGCCCTGTGACACAGGCATCCTGCCAAATCAGTAAAAATAGACTGCCTTAGAAGAGACTGATTCCTACTTAAGCATTCGTTTATTTGGAGAGCTTGGCTGCATATTTCCTGAAAGGAATGGAAAAACTCCCTAGCTGCCAAGTAACTTTTATCCTTAATTTCTCACAGTTAGCTCCAATTTGCAAAACAGGAATGATAACGAGTGAGAGACTGCATGTTGGGAGTAAGAGGAAAAAAATAGGAGAGCCCACCTTGGCAGTTTTCTGGAAAAGGGTTTTGTCTGAAGACTCTTCAGGATCCTCTGAGCAAGTGCTGGAAAACAATGTGATTGGCAAGGTGACTGCCTGGACAGTGGCTTTGTTTCCAGTTGGGAAACAAGTGATTTCCTCATTTAAGGCGATACAATTGGTTTCATTCACATTATGTATAGAGAGAAGGAGGATATTAGCAAAGCACTCCAGACAAGTCAGTCTGCCATGGGGGCAGGGAGAATTTAAACACCAGTATTTCTTAAAACCAGAACAGGGTGTGTTCCCAAGCCTGAAACCTTGGATTTCAGTCCTATTTCTCCCACTTACTTGAAGTGAGATCTCTTCATGCGGGAGAAGGGGGTTGTCATGCACTTGGGGCTGTTCCAGTTCATGACGCAGACTCTTCCCTCCTCTCTTGAAAGCCAAGGGATGTGGATTCCAGGAGAAGTGCAAGTTCAGAGAAGGGGCGCCTGGAAGGAGGGGAGCCTGGTATTTCATTCTCAAATTGAAAGTCTGCTTAGGCACTTGCTGAACTGCCCCCTCCTACCCAATTAGGGGAAAAGGGAGTCCGAAAACAGTAGTGGGTAAGAGAAAACCAGGACAACTCGCCATTCCCTTTCCTGGTGACATGGAAGATGGCCCCATAGGCTTGCCTCGACCTCAGAGCGTAGGGTGGGGATAGGGGCATCAGAGGGTGCTGCATTGATGGCGGACAGTAGGAGAGGTGGTCAAATACCAGCGCATAGGAAAGGGACCTGGTGAGGCCCAGTGAGAAGGACCGGCCTGTTCTTCCAGTAAACTGGGGAGGCGTTTTCCCTGTCCCTCACTTCTCCCCACTCCCAAGGTACCAGAGGAGCTGGGCACTTAAAAGAACAAAGTGGGGACGGGTCAGAACATGCTGATTTTCCGCCTCCAGTTGCTGGGGCGGCAGAGAGGGCCATACACTGCCCAGGAGTTGGCAGAGGGGCAGAGTGTACAGCTTTTAAAGTGGACTGACCAGTAGACAGATCATTTTAAAATCTCTGTATTGAAGTCTGATGTAAATACAGACAAGTGCACAAATCTCAGCGAACAGTTGGATGAATTTACACAAAGCAGACACAGTCAGCTATACCACCTCCCAAGACCAAGAAACTGCATGTTATCAGCATGGCCCGCACCAGGCCCTCTTCCAATCAGCCCCTGCCCCTCCTCGGGGTACTTTGCAATCTTCACACCCGAGGTGAGTTTGGACCTTTTTTGTACTTTATAGAAAGGAATCACACTGCACACACTCTTTTGTGCTTGGTTTCCTTCACTCAACTTTAGGTTTGTGAGATCTCTCCATATTGTGTGTACCGAGCAGGTCTTATGGGACTGATGAGTAACAAAGTTACTAGAAATGGGATGCAGATGTGGTGATGGTTCCTGCTTCTCAGGGAAAGGGGACGCCACAGTTCACTTGGAGGCAAATTTTAGAAGTAATAAAGCTATTTCATGTTGATATTCTAAGCTAATGATAACAAATCACCACTTCAATCTTATTTTCATTTTTGAATCAAATACTTAGAATACCTTTAGGTGACTTTGGTTGACTGGCTATTGTTAGAACAAAAGAATAACAAATGGTGGTGGGTTTGCTTCTTACATTGGTCAGGGTGAAGACTGTCCTCGCCACCCCAGTGCCAGTGTCCATTTCCAAGAGCAGTTAGGCAAAAGAGCAACATGTAACGTGTGTGATGCAGGCTTCACATTGAATGAGGTGGTGATGTACTAGAAGAAAACCAAGGCTGAGTAATTGAGGATTATATGCATACATTAGCTCATTCCCAGTTTATGCAAATTATAAGTAAATATCCAAGTGATTTAAAAATACTCCGCTCTGATTTTTAACTGACTCAGGAACAAGTAGAGATGTAAACAATTGTATCTTTTTTTATTAAAGCATTATACATTCATAACCTGAGTATAAAAACATTAGTGATTTATTTGTATATAATAAATAGGGTGTCCCAAAAATGTATACACAACTTGGAATAGTTAAAGGCAGTGTTGTTTATTAAAATACATTTCATTTTCAAACTGTAATAGAATCTACAGACACCCTGTATATTGTATACACACACACCTTTTTTGTTGTTTTGAAACTAATTTCAAAATGATAGAAAAGTTACGAGTGGTTCAAAGAATTCCCACTTCACCCAGAGACCCCATCGATGTTTTCCCAACTGTCCTAATGTCCCTGATAGCAAAGAGATCTAGTCCAGGCACACACATTGACTTTAGATTTGTGTCTCATTAGCCTCCAGTCTGGAACAGTCCTTCGGTTCCTTTTTGAACTGGTTATAGGCCGGTTATTTTTTAGAATGTACCTCACCTTGAGTTGGTCCCCGGTGTCCCTATTAGATTTGGGTTATGTGCTTTGAGGAGGAATATCACAGAGGGATGCAGTGTGTTCTTTCCATTACATTCCCGCCCATGGTACATGATGTCGCTCATTGCATTTCATCAGATGACACACTGCCGATTTGTTTCCATTACTTCTGATGTTAACTTTGATCCCCTGGGTAAGGTGGTTTCCACAATTTTGTTTCATTGTAAAATTACTCCCGTTCCCTTTATAACTAGTAATTTTTTTGTGGGGAGATAATTTGAGGCAGATTCTATTCTACATTTCGGAGTTAGAATTCTCTAAGGAAGAACTTTTTCTCCCAATTTATATAATATATTCATTTATATCACTGAGGACTTACAGATTCCTATTTTATTCATAGAAATTAAATTATTATTTAATCTCTTACTATCATTATTCATTTTGATGTTCATATTGTTCCATATTTGGCTAGTGGAAGCCCCTTCAAGCCAGCCTCTGTGTTTTTTTGACATTTTTATCATTCATTGAGCACTTCCTTACTTTCTGGCAAGGTGTTTGAGGCTTATCTTATATTTTTCCTGATCCAATCCTGGAATCAGCCATTTCTCCAAGGAGCCCTATACACACATACATATTGTGTGTGTGTGTGTGTGTGTGTGTGTGTGTGTGTGTGTGTATGGTCACATTTTCATACCAATTGCTCAAATTTCAATCCAACTTTATAGAGTTCATTCTAGCTTTCCCCCTATTCATACCCCAAAGGGTTAGAGAAGATACAAATTGAGTTTCAACATAAGAGAGCTTACTGAACTGTTTATAGCCCTGGTTCTCACCAATTGGAAAAATTTACTTGGTCTTTGAGGCCTCGGACTATTTCAAATTCACATTAATTCATCTTTGGTGGGATTGTTTCGGCCAAGGTTGCAGGTGTGGGAGAATCTGAATTCTTAATACCATCAGGATCACCTAGGAAAGGTTGGTAAGATGGACCCTGTGTGTTAAATCCAAATGGTTATTACATGCTATTCAGTGTTTGAAGAGCAGAGTTATAATTTGAAGAATGCCCAAATTTTGCAAACCAGAGTAGGTTTTCTTCCAAAACAGATGATTAATTGCACTTTGGCATTTTTAATAGAGGGTTACTTCTTAAATGCCCATTTCAGCTGGTTAGTCTTGTTTGCAGACTAGCAATCACAAGACAAATCTATTTCTAAGGCAGTTCTGAAGCTGTTCCCTAGTGCACTATCTTACTATATTAGTAATTGTTTTGAGCACCTACCATCATGGCTGTATATTACTGGCCTACTTAGAGACCAAAGTACTTGCTCAATATTATACTGCTATACCTTGATTTTACAGATTAGGTCATTGAGGTTCAAATAATTTTAGGAACTTGCCCATTTTGACAGAGAAAGTAATCCAAGTAGGACTTCAACCCAGGCAGTGTGGCTCACTGACCCCATGTTTCACCATCAGTCAACTGCCCCCAAAAAGCTGTTTGGGGAAAAACTTTTAGAGGATTATGTCATCTGCAAAAGGACATTCTGCATTATGATTAAAGTATGGTCATTACCAAAATGGAACAGACACCTACCTAAGGAATTTAGAACAAGACCATTTGACCTGACCCACTAGAATCTCCTTCACGGTACATGATAAGCTGTTGAGTCTTTAGAGTAGGGGTATGGGTGAGAGGCAGGGGAACGGTAAAACTGGGAAAGCTCATTATCCAGCTTGGCCTTTCATTTTGCTTTATTTAGGGCTATTGGTTCAAGCACTGGACTACATCTATTGCTTGTTAAAACTGTCCCCCAAACTCAGAGAGAGTTTGTACACTCCCTCCACACCCACCAACAAACTAATGGTCTGTACACTCAGTGGCTCGTCACCTCCTCTTCCCCCAAACCTTTCACAGTGGGTGGGCAGCATGAGTGAGCTGCAGGAAGAAGACTCCAGACCTTGACTCTGAGCTTCATTTGTGTTTCAGACTGCTGGGCTGATCGATCCCCACTTCATGAAGCGGCAGCCCAGGGGCGCTTACTGGCCCTTAAAACTTTAATTGCACAGGTAAGTAAACTGAAGACTCGATCCTTTGTGCTTATTTTATAAGCAAGCATCCTTCTTTATTAGCTTTGCCTGTACCAGAGGTCTTGCTTGCTGGGTCCCAACACAGCCATTCCAGATGGATGTATCCTCTTACAGCTCACCATTTCTTCCCCCTGCCTCTCCTTTCTTGGGAAACTGGCTTATTTTCTGCCCAGTTCCCTTCCTTCCCCTCTGGGCTGTCCTTTATCTCACAGGAAGTTTCCCTGTGAGACTGATGGAGGATACACTAACTCACCTTATACTCTCCCAGTGTGCCTTAGTAGCAGCAGCCCTGAGGTTGCATTAGCTATTGCTGTGTACCAAATTACCTCTAAACATAGGGGCTGAAAACAACAAACTAGATTCTCACAGTTTCTGTTGGCCAAGGAGTAGCTTAGCTGGGTGGTTCTGGCTCTGCCTCTCTGGCAGGCTGTGAAGTATTTGTCAGGGCTGCAGTCATCACATAGCTTGACTGGGGGAGGTTCTGCTTCAAACAGCTTCAGTTCCTTGTCACATGGGCCTCTCCATAGCGCTGTGCCTGTATCATAAGATGGCACCTGGTATCCCCCAGAGAGAGCACACGAGAGTGCCTAAGGAGATCTTATTATAACCTAATCTCCAAAGTGACATCTCATCTCTTCTGCCATATTCTCTTCATTAGATGTGAGTGAGTAAATCCAGCCCAAACACCAGGAATAGGACAAATGAGCCAGTACCAAGAATCGGGGGTCACTGGGAGTCTCTTAGAGGTTGCCTACCTCAGCAATATACTATTTCAAGAGCAAACATTAAAACAGACTGACAAACATGTAAATCTTCCTCTATTGGGAAGATTTATTAAAGTCTTAATTATTAAGGCTACTTTATTAGTAGTTATGACTGTATCCCTTGAACAATGAACAGCAGCCTTGTAAATATTTGTGAAATGAATGAAAGTGTACACACTCGATTTGCTTTGTTTGTTTTAGCATCTGTGTGTGTACAGAGGAGGTCAGTCATTTTATCATTTTTTCCACAACCTAGCTAACACCGAACCTGGCTTCCTTACCATTTTGAGTTTAAACAGCTGGACACACTGATCTGTATTTGTGTGTGTGTGTGTGCGCGCGCATGTGTGTGTGCATACCTTTTTTTCTCTCCTTTATGAGTTCTCAAGAAAGTAGAGGCCAAAAGAAAACTGCCAGTAATTATGAAATAGGCTTTGCACTTGATTTTATCACTTGCTTATTTATTTTTAAGTACTTTAAATTTTATTTGATTTGATCATTTTTAATATGTAATATATTCACATAGTGCAAAAATTAAAATGATATAAAAAGGTACACAGTGAAAAGTCTTACATCTACTTTCAGCCTCCCACTTTAATAGTTTTATTAGTGTTTTTTTTTTTATCCTCACCCGAGGACATTTTTCCATTTTTTTGTTCAGGTAGAGTGGGAGGGAGAGAGAGGAACAGAGAGAGAGAGAAACATCCATGTGAAGGGACACATCGAGTGGCTGCCACCCGCACAACCGACCAGGGCCGGGGACAAACTGCAACCGAGGTTCCTTAGCGGGAACCGAACCCGGGTCTCTCAGGACCGCAGGCCGACGCTCTAACCGCTGAGCCAAACCGGCCAGGGCTATTAGTGTTTTTAATAAACTTAATTTTGGAAAAAAATTTGGAATGATTTTAAAGACGTGTAACAAAGATAGTACAGTGAGTTCCTATATACCCTACAGTCAACTTCCCCTAATGTTAACATCTTTCCTACCCATGGTACTGTAGTCCAAAATCATAAATCAATATTGATCCAATGCCATCATACAGAATATTGGAATTACACCAGTTTTCCATTAGTGTCTATTTTCTCTTACAGGATCCAGTCCAGGATCCCACATTGCATTGAGCACGTCTTTGTTTTTAACTATACTTCATAAGCATGTTGGTTTTGGTAGTGTGCTTAAACGTGTAAGGGAACATTATCATACTGGCTGTCACCACCAGATGGGGAGTCTCAAGTCTTGTTAATATTTGAACTTCCTGCTTCTCCATTTCTCATGCACAGTGAAGGTGACTTACTCTTGATATTCTTTCAGGCCTGCCCAGCATTATATTTCTACAGTTTCAGGGATTTTGAGTTTGTATTAATCAGGTGTTTTTTTCTATCACATAGCTGCCACCTTGTGGATTAGCCTGCTTTTCTTTTCTTGAAAAGAAATCATATATGGGAAAAGTAAAAGGGACTTTTTAAATTGTATTTGATACCCAACTTGAAATCTGTAGCACAGCTCTGGAGTAATCACATCATATTCAGGACATGAAAATGGACAGGCACTGGCCGGTTTGGCTCAGCGGTTAGAGCGTTGGTCTGCAGTCCAGAGAGACCCGGGTTCGGTTCCCACTAAGGGCACGTATCTCGATTGCAGTTTGTCCCCGGCCCTGGTTGGGTCGTGCGGGTAGCAGCCACTCGATGTGTATCTTTCATGTGGATGTTTCTCTCTCTCTCCCTCCCACTCTATCTGAACAAAAAATGGAAAAATGTCCTCGGGTGAGGATTAAAAAAAAAGGAGAGAGAAAATGGACAGGACCAAGGAGGCACAGAGAGGCCCTAAGGTGAAGGGACAGGCAGCACCAATGAGATCTGGCAGGAGGTGGTGGGTACTTTGGTTGGGGTGAGAGTTTCAGGGTCATGCAGTAGGTTTTGGAAGCTTTCAGCAGGTCAGTTACAAGGCAGGGAATCGGAAAACAACTCAGCTGGGAAGCTTCAACCAGGGACTAAATTCCTCTCTCATATAGAAAGTGGTAATCCTGGGGGAAATGGTAAGGGACAAGTTAAAATTAGGGCATGAAGTCAGAGTTGGCCAGTAGCTGGCTGGTCTGTCTTCTGTCACCTGGATTTCATGTCAGTATGGGGAGGGTGTGTGCTAGGACTGGGCAGAGCTGCTGGGAGCTGGGTGAGGAGATGGGGTTAGGACAAGCCCTTGGCCCCAGACCCTGTTAATGCAGACTTCTGCGCTCAGTGGAATTGTGACAGACAGCGGTACTGCTACTCTGACATGTGAGTCCTGGAAGCGCCACCAACTTTACTTTTGTACTCTTAAGCCTGGGGGTCATCTTTCTGTTCTCAATCCAATTATAGTACTGTAAGTGTATTTTCTCTTTTTTATCATTTCCTTAAAAACATTGTCTTTTCTCTAGCTTATTTCATCATAAGAATACAGTATATAATACATACACAAAATATGTGTTAATCAACTATGTTATCAGTTAGGCTTCCAGTCAACAGTAGGCTATTATTAGTAGTTAAGTTTTGGTGGAGTCAAGTTATAGACAGATTTTTTTTCCTTTTTAAATTTTTTTTTTCTTTATTGATTTGAGAGAGAGAGAGAGAAGAAGGGAGAGGGAGAGAGAGAGATAGAAACATCGATGAGAGAGAACATCGACTGGCCACCTCCTGCATGTCCACCACCGGGGATCTGGCCCACAACCTGGGCATGTGTCCTGACCGGGAATCGAACGGGCGACCTCTTGGTGCATGGGTCAATGCTCAACCACTGAGCCACACCAGCCAGGCTTCAGACAGATTTTTGACTGTATGGGGCTTGGAGTCCTTACCCTCTGCATTGTTTAAGGGTCAACAATGCTTTTTTTTTTTTCCTGCCTTCCTAGCTTGAAATTTTTTATGCTTCAAGTCTTAGTTAAATACTACCTCATAAGAGAAATTTTCTTTTACTCTCCAAGCCAGATTCAAGGATATGCCCCATGCTCCCAAGTGAAATTTGAACATTCTTCTTGTATAGCAGTATATTCTTACTGCTTCCCCAACCCCATTTCTATTTCCCCACTAGGTTTTTTTTTTTTTATCCTCACCCGAGCATATTTTTCCATTTTTTGTACAGATAGAGTGGGAGGGAGAGAGAGGAGGGGAGAGAGAGAGAGAAACATCGACGTGAAGGGACACATCGAGTGGCTGCCACCCGCACGACCAACCAGGGCCGGGGACAGACTGCAACCGAAGTACTTGCCCTTAGCGGGAACCGAACCCCGGACCGCAGGCCGATGCTATAACCGCTGAGCCAAACTGGCCAGGGCCCCCACTAGGTTTTTAGAGGAGAGAGACTTGTGTCATAAACTTTGAAGAACCAGGTACTAGCACATTGCTTGGCTCGGAATACTGAATTAGCATTTGGTGAATAAATGAATTCAAGTCTCTCAACACCATATTTAGACTCCCCTGGTTATGGCCTCTTCTCCTTTCTATATGATCCCCTCAGGCCAATGAGAACATGTCCAACAATGTCGCTTTCGTTGCTATTACTAATGCAGCCTTTAACCCACTTCTCTCCAAATCGTAGGGTGTCAATGTGAACCTTGTGACAATTAACCGGGTCTCTTCCCTCCACGAGGCATGCCTTGGAGGCCATGTAGCCTGTGCTAAAGCTTTATTGGAAAATGGTGCCCAGGTGAGTACTGCTCCCACCTCACAGGTCTGTCTACCCAGGTCCCAAGTGCAGCTACTACCATCTAAAGAGACATGACCTTCTCCACTGCTCACCCACTGTGGGTATGCAGGTCTAGCCCCATGCTTGTCCACATTTCTGAGTGATCAAGAAGACATTGCTGCTTGCTCCTTTCTTCAGCCTCTATGCCCATGTGTGAACATTCAGATAAGGTCATTCACAGGAACCTCAAAACTGTGATGCTGCCTTTAAAAAAATCATCTTGAACGAAAGTAATTTGAAACTGGTCTTGGAAAATTTATTGTGAAACATTAAAAGAACAACAACAAAAACCACCTTTAATTCAAAACCCTAAACCAACAACTATTTTTTGAGAAAAGTTATTAAACTAAATGAGCTCTTAATAAATAGTACATTTAAAAAAACATACAAAATGAACTTTATCTTATTTTTATTTTTTTAATTATGTAATTAAAACTTTTTTCTATTACAGTTGACATTTAATATTTTATATTAGTTTCAGGTGTACACATAGTAGTTAGACATTTATATAATTTAGAAAGTGATCCCCCTTGTTATGCAAAGTGTTGAGGTCCCAGAAAACCTCACAGTATTGTTCTTGGATTCCAAACGCAATCAAACAGAGGACTGGCTGTGAAAGACATGGGTTTATTAGGACTTACATGCGAAGTTTACCGCCACACCAGCTGCCATAGGTAAAAGTTGAACCACTAAGTCCCATCCGGCCTGCAGACAGGCCGCACCAGGGGCAGCCCGCTGGTGTTACTGTTTTGCCACCACCCAGACTTTCCCAGCACATGTTTTTATAGAGTACAGAAAACAGAAAAACAGGGCATGCGGGGGGAAGGGGATGTGTTTCCACACAAGCTGTGTGAGATCAAAACTGCGAGCTGTTTTCTTGACCAAGGAGCTGGCCAGACTCCCAAGGTCTCGCAGTCTGCTTACTGATGACCTTCACTATATTTCCCACAGGGTGGGAGGGGGAGTTGGAGCATGGGAATGGACCCATGTTCCCATCTACCATGCATCCCTGATTTTATCTTATTTTTAATTCTTTTTTTTTTTTCAGGGAGTTACTGAGGTGCTGTATGAAATCTGGTATCAGAATAGAATGATAAAATTAAAACTTCTGAAAATTTCAATGACATTTAGTTACCAGATACTGTTTTGTTGATAATTTCATTTTTAAACTCAGGCCTTGCATTCTTTGTTTCATGAGCTATAGTGTTTTAAGTGCTTAATGAAGGTTTTCTTTAAATTTTATATGGAAGTTGGGTTTCTGCATGTAGAACTGAATATCAAAGTCTTCTGTGGGCAAACTGATTTTCCTGATGCCAGAGTGGTTCTGTATTTTCATTAGGTACTGTTTCTTTAAATTACTCTTAGTTGCCCGGCCAGTGAGGCTCAGTGGTTGAGCATTGTCCCATGCACCAAGAGGTTGCTGGTTCGAGTCCGGACCAGGGCACATGCCTGGGTTGCGGGCTTGATCCCCAGTGGAAGGTGTGCAGGAAGGGGGTAGCTGATCAATGTTTTTCTCTCTCTCTCTTCCTTCCTCTCTCTCTAAAAATCAATAAAAACATATTTGTAAAAATATGGTAAGTTACCCTTAGTCCACTCACATGTAATGGTTAGGGCAAGGTTGGGGGCGGGCCATTTCAATTTAAGCTAGGTGACTGGAGTCACAGGCAGATTTTGGGTGGGAAATATCAGACATCAGGTCATGGAAGAGTGTGTGTTGGGACAACTCTGGGAGGTTCTGTGGGGGGACAGAGAAAAGAGTAAGACATGGTCCCTTATCTTTGGCAATCTTATACAAAAGCAGTCAATAAATATTATATTACTTAACATTTAAATCAGAATGATAGACTGAACAAGAGAAGGTTGGTCAATCAGTAGACAATTCCTCAAAATTGTCCCGTGGGTACCTCACACTCAGCGCATCTGAAACTGTGCTTATCGGATTCTTCCCTTTGGGACCAGTTCCTCCTTTTAGATTCCCAGCCTCAGAGACCAGGTAAAATGTATTCTTGGTTTCCCAAGCCCCAAACCTGGGATCATCCTACTTATTCTATCTTCTCATCTAATTAATTACAACATCCTTTTAATTTTACTTCCTAAATTTTTCTCAAGTCTATGCTCTCCTTTGTCCTATTCCCATACTAAACTAAAGCATTTATTATTGTATCAAAATGATCACTTTGTCATGTTAGTCTTCCTTTGTAGAATTCAACCTATTCAATAAGAGGCAGTTTTCTTACTCAACTTTGCTTCTAAAACATTGGCACCTAACAGATGCTCAATAAATGTTTGCTGACCTGAACTGAGAGAAAGTTATAGGAAATCAAATTAGAAGACTTCCTGAACTCAGGAAGAGGATAATACTTAGTAAAAACAAATCAAATCAGTTCCACCAAATATTTATTAGAAATCCCTAGAGTTAAAAATTGGTACACATTTTTCCCTGTCCTTGATTGTCTCTGCCATCTTAGCAGCTCATCTTTAACTTTCCAATTTAATGGGGCTATCCTAGCTCTGTGGAGAAATACCTATTTTGTTTCTGAAACAAGGAAATTTAGGATCCTGATTATTACAAGCATATATTCTTAGTTGTTGAGGCAATATGATTTGACATCAAGCCCTTATCGTCCTGCATTTCACCAGAATGCCTTGTTCTCCTGATGTTTTTCCAATCTATTGCTAATATTCAAAGATGCTCTTAGCCATAATCATTCCCAAGTGCATCCCATATCCCTAGAAGGCACCAAGGATGGTTGTAGACACCACATTGATGGCTATTTTCTTTGTGCCTTTGATCATGATCTCTTTAGGAGTCATTGCTGGCAGATGGAATTTGTATGGATTAGGGTAGTCCAGGAAGGAAATTTGTAGCAAGAGAGAGGAAGTGTGGGGAATTACTGAGGAGATTTTGTAAGCACAGCTTCTGGGACCTTAATCTAGCTGATTTCTCTAGTACTTTTGGTTTCTGCCATGTTTGTTCATGATTGACAGGGGTGTCAGCTCCATATTAAAGAAAAAATGGAAATAATTGTTACAAATGTTTATTGAATGTTTACTGGACACCAGGTAACGTTCTAAGCGTTTAACATAGAACAACTTAATCTGCACAATAACCTCAAAGATACGGAAATATATTTTAAAGATAAGGAAACCTAGGCAGAGAAAGTTAGTATCCCAACCAAGATCGCTGAACAAAAATAAATGAGAGAAAGTGAGCTGGGATTTGAACCATAGCTAAGGGTTCCATAGGCCATAATCTTAACCACCATACAGGACTAATCCTCAATGATTAGGAGGCTCCTAAGAAGCGCTGGAACACGCACAAATGCGTTTTATTTTTTAATTAATTTATTTTTGTTACAGATGTTTCTCCTTTTTCTCCCACTTATGCCCCCTCCTTCTCACTCCCCACCCTGTCTCCAGCTTTGTTGTCCATGTCCATTGTTCATGCATACATGCATATAAGTTCTGTGGTTTATCTCTCCCCCACGACCCCCTCTTCTGGGGATTATCAGTCTGTACCCCACTTCCACGTCTCTGGGACTACCCCATTCCTCAGACTCTTATGTTCATTATACTCCACAAATAGGTGAGATCATATGATGCTTGTGTTTCTCTTTTTGACTTGTTTCGCTTAGGATAATACTTTCCAGATCCTTCCATGTAGTCTCAAAGGATAAGAGATCTTTCTTTCTTACAGCTGCGTAGTACTCCATTGTGTACATGTACCACTGCTTTTTTATCCATTCATCTACTGATGGACATTTGGGCTGTTTCCAGATCTTAGCTATTGTAAATAGTGTTGCTACGAACATAGGGTATATATATATTCTTTCTGAATGGTGTTTCAGGCTTCTTAGAGTATATTCCTAGAAGTGGGATCACTGAGGCAAATGACAGTTCAATTTTGAATTTTTTGAGGTAACACCATAGTGTTTTCCATAGTGGCTGCACCTGTCTGCATTCCCAGCACCAGTGTACTAGAGTCCCCTTTTCTCCACACCCTCGCCAACACTTGTTTGATGATTTGTTGATGGCGGCCATTCTGACAGGTGTGAGGTGATACCTCATTGTTGTTTTAATTGGCATCTCTCTGATGATTAGTGATGTTGAGCATTTCTTCATATGTCTCTTAGCCATTTGTATGTCCTGTTTGGAGAGGTGTCTATTTAGTTCCTCTGCCCATTTTTTAATTGGGTTCTTTGTCTTCCTTTTGTGGAGTTCTATGAGCACTCTATACATATTGGAAATTAACCCCTTACCTGATGAATCGTTGGCAATTATGCTCTCCCATACAGTGGGTTGCCTTTCCATTTTGGTGGTTGTTTCTTTTGCTGTGCAGAAGCTTTTGAGTGTGATGTAGTCCCATGTGTTCATTTACTCTTTGTTTCTGTTGCCTTAGGTGATGTATCAGTGAAAATTCTGCGTGTGATGTCTGAAATTTTGTTGCCTACATTTTCTTCTAGAAATTTTATGGATTCATGAGTCACATTTAAGTCTTTTATCCATTTTGAGTTTATTTTTGTGTATGGTGTGAGTTGGTGGTCTAGTTTCATTTTTCTGCATGTAGCTGTCCAATTTTCCCAACACCATTTATTAAAGAGGCTGTCTTTACTCCTCTGTATGCTCTTGCCCCCTTTGTCAAATATTAAGTGAGCATATTGTCTTGGGTCCATTTCTGGGTTCTCTATTCTGTTCCATTGTTCTATCTGCCTGTTCTTGTGCCAGTACCAGGCTGTTTTGATTACAGTGGCTTTATAGTATAACCTAAAATCTGGTAATGTGATCCCTCCAACCTTGTTCTTCTTTTTCAAGATTGCTGTAGCTATTCGAGGTCTTTTTTGGTTCCATACAAACTTTTGAAGTATTTGTTCTAGTTCTGTGAAGTATGTCATTGGTATTTTGATGGGGATTGCACTGAATCTATGGATTTCTTTGTGAAGTATGGACATTTTAATGATGTA